GAGTCAAAGCATCGCATGCTATTGTGGCGGTAGAAACGCAGAAAGCAGAATGGCCAAAAATAATGTCAACAATTTCGAGAAAGTGGAAGAATTAAAGCTCCGCGTCGAGCGCTGCCGAGGCAGAAGGGAATCGACAAAGTCAACTGCCGCGACAACAAATTGCCGCAGCATCTTCAGGTGAGGAGGACTTATGGCAGAAAAATTACGAAAGGGACTATCCCCTAAGCCTCACGCCATGCAGCAATAAAGAGAATCCTTTCAGCAGGGAACCTTTTTAATTGGACTACAAAAGAGAAATGGTGCTTAACCTGGAATTTCTTTGCAGCAAAGAATTGAAATATGGCTCAGACAGCAGCAGGGCAGCCAACTGTCAATGGAAAAAAGAAAATCATCAACGCAACGACGTGAATGCCAAGTTGCTTAAAGCATCAAAGGAACTATTTAAATATTTTAAGGTTATAAGCAGGATTTCCAGACCTCTTTAGTTTTAAGACAAACTGGAAATGGTATAATCCCGCAAGGGATAGGCTCTACCTCTGACCTCGTTTGCGTATCAGTATTCTAGTGTCAATCGATTAAAACCCAATATCCAATTATCGCACAACAATTTCCTTTTTCTCAATTCGGGCTTCCACTCAATCTTTAATTTCCTTTCAATTTTTGTTAGAAATCGAGGTCGCGTCTCTCGGATCAAGGTATCGGGTCCCGTTGTCGGCCAAATGGCCAAAGAACGACGAGGAGGCGGCACTGATGAGCTGCCAACCAGGCCTCCTCTCCTCCGGGAGTGGAGCTATGTGCTTATTACGAGTCGATGGAGCTCGGGCCAACGTGGATGAGTCGAGTGGCATATCAATGGAGGAGTTGGCTCAGCAAACAGCAGCTAGCGAGGCAAGCAAAAAATTTCGCTTCAAGTGTCAATCAGCGCCAGCACAGACAGGCACACCCCTGCATACACACATGGGTCGAGAAGGCTAAGGCACAAGCTGATAGAAGCTAATCGATTTATGTTGTAATATTCAAAATGTTTCCCATAAGGACCTGGCCTGGAGGACGACCTGATCCAGAGCGACTCCCTTTTGTGCCGACGTCGACGTGATTCCTCCCCCCAGCCACGTGCTCCAGAAGCGGGCAAGCCTCGACCCAGCTCGACCCAAAACCAGGGGCTCCGGGCCATGTGTGTCCTCGGCGCTGGCGTCTGTTTATCTGCCTGCGTTTGTCGCATTAAAATTGAATAAAAAATCAATCTCAATTCTAGCATAATTTGATTCCTGCCCTCGATTATTGGGTCTGTGGAGTCATCGATCCCATTCCAGTCCCTGAAAGGCATGTAAAGAAATCGGCTGATAAATAAGTAATAATTCAAAGGGCTTTGCTAATCGGCATCGGCAAAGTTATTTAGACGGTGAAGGGTTTCCACTTCGAGAGATTGGATTGTTCCTCCTGCCGATTCAGCTCTTACTTTCTCCAGAGTGCATTAGCAATTCACTTATCCCAGGCACCGAATACCTTATTCGAGCTTAGCACCAAATTCACTTGGCTCAAAGTTTATCCTTCGGGTGCAGCCACATGTGGGAGCCGGAGGTAGTTTTTTACACTCCTGATCCCCGGCATCTTGGGCGGCGCTTATTCCGATGCATTTAATAAAGTGTTTATTTCGGTTGCAACAAATTTGCCAGCTCAGTGCCACAAAAGTGGAAGACAATGCCAACTGAAACCTGTGCACGACACAAAGGAAAATTGCTTTTCCGCTACGCAGAAAAGGGCACAGGACACAGACACGGACGCAGCAGCATCCTCATCCGCATTCACATCCGACCATGAGGGAAAATACTTCGCACGCTTAGTGGCGGGGAAAATATGTAGTCCCTCCCACCCGCATGGAGGATAGTGGACTCGCCATCGAAATTTTTCCAGATGACGTATGACTGTGCTGCACACCCGGGCATAGAAATGTGCTCGTGAGCCAGGATACTCCTAGGAGCTCGGGACAGTCACGGTGGACCCAGGGAGGACGTCCTCACGCTGCCAACGTTGGATCGGGTTGCGGGTCTTTGGAAGGGAGAAACTTTTCCACTCTCTGCTGGCAGCATAGTTTTATTTTGTTCCAAAGTTGCCTTTTACTTTCTTGGTTTTCTATTTGTCTTTCGGTGGAATCAACTGCGAATCGCGGGATGGTGATTCGGCTTGAGTGGCACATTATTTGATGATGCTTTTCGCGATTTTTTCGCACTTGAATGCCTGATTTTTATTAGTTGAATTCTTTACGGTTTCCGCCAAAGAAAAGTTTCATTTTCATTTCTTTCTGGTCGTCTGCGAGGGAAACTTCTACGTTCAGAGAATTTGAAATATGGCTGGAAAATCATTTGGGTTCGATAATAGAAAGTTGTTTTGTCTGGGCCCTTGGCTTTTGGCTGGGCAGTTGATCATTTTGGCATAGCGGAAGCACTGGAGCGCTGGTGAATGCCAACGTCGGATATAATAATGGCCAAATCGGCTCTTATCTCTCCGTGAAAAGAGCGTCACTGGGATAGTGCAAAAATCTTGATGAAGAATGCCAAAAGTAAAACAAACGAAGCACCCGACGAGCAAACGGAAATGAAAGTCAATTTGAATACATTACCAATTCTAATTACGGTTTTCAAGTACAGCCAGCGCCAAGGACCGAGCCGAGGACAGGCGGGGAATCAGTCCAATGCGATGGCTTGAATAATATAATATTGGTTGCTAGGGACGTCGTTCCTCCAAACCACGAACCATTCAAATTGGAATTTAAAAAACCGAATAGACAACAAGGCGACAGGATTCTGGGAGGGGAGCTGCGGCTGGGGCGAGTCCTTGCTGACCAAAAGATTAGCCGGGGAATTCCGCAAAGAGGAAAAGCTGTGAATTTTCACAGTCAGTGACAGGAAAATGGCGGCCACGAATCTTATTTGAATACATCAGCCGAACATTTTCCGACCCAGGAGCAGGGAGGCAGGGAAACAGGGAGCCGGCTGAGCGGAAAACTCACGGACCGGAGAATCTGGTATCCGCCAAAGTGCTTTCCCGTACAGTGTGGTGCAGTCAGGGAAGGCGAGGGGAGTGAGTGGGGCTTCGCATTTCGTTTTATTAAAATTTCAAATACTTTGCGTTATCGCTTTAGACGCAGCTTAAGCCACCTGCAAGAATCAACATACCTCTCTGCGGCCGCTCCCAGCCACCCCGTCGCCCAATCATACCCCAACACTTGACTCGGCGTCCACAAACAAGGAAGTTTGGCTATACGACTTGCTTATTATGCTGGTTTTCCTATTTGCCCCGTCCTGCGCTGCCAATGACAAGGTCCTAGCCATTCCCCGTCCTCCCCGGCACAATTTACCTATGCTCCGGGTGGGGGCGCCCAAATTTGAAATGAAAATTAAGTAAATATAATGCGCCACCGCCTGACAGGGAGCAGCTCCGTTCCTTCCCGGCTTTCCCGCTAACAGTTCGGTTTCGGTTTCGGCTTGGCAAATAAATGATAAGCATTACATTTGATATTCATTATTTGATAACGCGCATTATGAAATAAAAATAAAAACGCCAGCGGAAATGAAAACGTATTCGCAGCATTTCATATGCCCAGGTGGGCGGAGGGAGCCAGACAAGTTGTCGGATTAAATGTTTGCCTAAGTGAAATATGTTAAGTGTTACGATATGTGCTGCTCTCTTGGATCCGGTCCCCCTATTCTAGGTTGATTTATGGGGCTGTAGTGACATAGCCTCCAAGGGGGGAGAGGCTGCGAAAAGATGCTGCAGGGACGGGTCTTTATGCCTAGCAATGACTTGCAGCTTATTCCAAGGATAATTATGAAGGGTCCGCCAGACCTTATCACATTAGCTGGCCAGACTAATTCGCTTAAAAGCATATGAATACATCGAGATGAATCCATTCAAAGGCTCCCAGGCATGCAATAAGTTTTTCTAGCTTCCTCTGCCAAAAGTCTCATTGCAACATTCATCAAATGAGATAGAATCAGCCAACACATGGACGGCCCATGTGTGGCGATGGAATCGATTTATTCCCAACTATCCTGCTCCTTAGAACAAGCCGCGTGGAACTTAAAGTTGCGATGCTTGGCTGAAGCTATTATAGGAATTTAAACACAGCAAGCCACCTTAAATTTTCTTGTGTTGGCCATCAAGTGGCCGAGCCGACTTTAAAACTACCAACAAGCCCAGCTCCCACTTGGGGGAAGAGTTCGTGGCGGAAGCGCTCATTCCAAAGCCCAGCACGATACAGGTGCGGGCCAGAAAGGACGCTTGTGAGCTCGTTTAGCGTGAAATTATGAGCGCTTTTACGGCACAAACAACATCACAGACGAATGTCAACGACAAGCTTAAGCTGCTTAAAACAAGGAATTGCGTGAAGTGGGGCAGGGGCTGCCAAGGGGCTGGCAAGGGGCCGGAAGGGGTGGGAAAAGTGAAAGTGTCAAGGATGCGGCAAGCGCTTCATAGTCAAATTAAATTGGTCCTTGCGGAGGGGGGTGGGGGAATGTGCGACGGCGCCAAAGTGAAAGGGTAATGCGAGCGTAAAAACATTTTTAATGAAATCGAGACGACGACTTCCAACGGCGGCAGCGGCGCCTTAGACAGTGGCAAGTATGTTTTAATTTAAACCTTGGTTTTACCTTGGCTTCGAGGGGAAAAATAATTTCATTCCGCCTGAGCATTAATTTCATATCCCATTTGAAAATTTTAATTAATTTTCAGCTTGATTGCATTTTAAAGAGCCGCCTGCTTTATGTTTTGGGGCGGCTGTGGGGATGTCTTGTGGTTGCTCCGGGCTGGGAATTTATAGTTATTGTGGCGAGTGCCTTAAGCGGGGCAGGGGCCTTTGGTGGGGTTTTGGTTTTAGTTTCTACTCTTTGTGCGGCGGGACTTCGGTCTGTAACTATTACAGACAATTTACGTCTTTAGTGGCTTCTTAATTAATTTTAATTTTTGATCAGAGGGAAAGTGATTACGACTCCGAAACTCACCTTTGCCGACGTGCCTGTCCAGGCTTGGGTCCTTCAGGCCTGCAACAAAAGAGAACTTCAGTTACTAACTCCATTAATCTAAGTCAGAGCGCGACTACAGACGGCTGCCCCAAGCCTGCATCTTTTCAACGCCATCTGTGATAGCCCCTATCCCCGAAAAAACTCAGTTAGGGCTCGCAAAATTTTGAATTAGCAAGTAAGTACTACATGAGAACTAAAGACCTGAAAGACAAACAAAGAATTGCTAACAAACGAGGACCGGGACCGAGTACAACCACTGATAACCCTCGCGTGCAGGAAAACTTCTAATTAATTTCTCGCCTCGGATCTGGACTCCGGAGGAAATGAACTTAAAGTTTTAATGCGGAAGTCTAAAGTTGCAATTTTTCTGTATTATTTCAGTTACTAAAAGGAAGGGCCTTGTGCCACTACTGGTATTGTGACCCTTGCCTTTGTGTTTCGGGTCTTTTGTCTAGAGACTTTCAGAGGGCTTCAAATGAAACCAAAGGAACACAGTCTTGTTAGGTCGAATTTTCCAGTTGATGAATCAGTAACTTTAATATGCCCCAATCAGAATATTGAAAGTAGTTATAAAATTACATTTTTCTACTAATAAGAGCCTGCAAACTGATTTTTTATAGTTATGCCTTCGATTTTGTAAACTTCTACGCTACGGAATTGGCTGCAGGCGAAACTGGAATCGAAATTGAAGGGCTACTTTTGTTGGTTTAATTAGAAAAGTTGCTCGTAGTCAGTGGAGGGGTTCATCGAACTGTGAGGAGCACCAGGAGAGTCACAATTAGTTGCCAGCCCTTGAACAAACTTTAAATACTCGTATACCTAGCGAGTTGTGCTTCCCGATTCCGTAATCAGCTCATCTCAATTGCAATGGCTTACCTTTCTCCGGCTCTTCGCGCCCGGAGGACCCCGGGACTTTAGCAAACATTTTCGCGACAGCGATCGCACTCCCCGCACTTGAAAAATGCACGCCATCAAAATTAATGCAACTGTCATGTTTTTCTCCCCCAGGCAGGACTCCTATCTTTCAGCCCTGTGCCATCCCCTGGGGACGCACTCGCCGTTAAATGCCAATACACTTAGAACTGTAGCCAACCGCAGTCCAGCCAGGCTATCGCCACCCCACGATAAACATGTTTCAATTTAAACAGTAAAACCTAACTCATTGCCAATAACAAGCGCAGGTTCGACAGCCAGTAGCGGGCTCAGCAGGTTGCAGGTCTAGGGCGCAGGACAATGGGTTTAAAAAGTGAAAAATGTTTAAAGTTATAATACGGCAAAATGAGAAACAGTAAGCGGAGGTAGCTACAATCAGGTAACAACAAGGAAGTAAAGAGTAAGTAAGGATGGCCGGTAAAGCCTTCGAGTTATGGAGAAAGTCGTATTTATTTCTACTTTGAATATGCCTACCCTTTCCGATCTCACTCCGGTCCTGTGCAAAGGGCCAGTGTTAAAATAACCGAAATGTCCTTTTGCGCAATTTTGTGGACACTGAAAATCGCTTTGATTGAACCGCATGCCAGGGCAGACAACAGTCACAGTCGCATGTCCGTGGGGCGCAGGACAATGGCCACACATAAAGCAAACACTCACCGCACGCCCCTCGCTGCCCTGGGCAGGCAGCAACTCCGAAATCCACTTGGCAATTGCAGCTGCAAATGCGCTTCACTGCACTTACAATGCACATTGGGTCTATGGTGGGAGAGGGTGTGGGGGTTGTGCGGGTGAAGCGGTAAACGGGTGCAGTGGCAGGGTCCACAGTCTGTAAATTGTCCAGCGAATGCGGTTTGGGAATTGGTTTTATGTCGCTTGCGCCTCAATGGAGATGCATTTTACACTGCTCTGCTAATCTCGGAGTGTGGCGAAAGCGAAAGCAGCCTGTCCCTCCCGCAGCAAGGCCCCTCGCCCATCCACTACCGCTCCCGCAGCATCAACTCCTCCTCCCGCCCAGGACTACTACGGCGTACGCAAGTTGACTTTGAAAATCAATTAACAACATCAAACACAAGCCGGATGCTGACGTGGACAGCTGTCGGCCAGGGCACCAGGACTACCCGCCTCCAGCTCCATCTCTAGATCCTGCTCCAGGGCGTCCTCCTCCTGCGCCTCCTCCTTCGCAAAGTGCGTAAATTGCAACTGTAAATCAAATATGACAACGCGAGCGGCGGCAAAATCTGCATGTGTGTCAGTCAAATTAATTGTCCACGCCCCCGAGGGGTGGTGCTGCGTTTGTATTTTATTGTTGTGTTAATGAGTGTGCATAGGCAGCTCCGACGGACGTGCGACGTGCAACATTCAATGTGCCCGTTCAATGGGCGATGTGCGGCGGCCTGCAATTTGCTGATGTGACATAAAAATGTGTTACCCGGACAGGCAGGGCGGACATTTAATTAATTGTATAGAAAAGTTGCACAAAATATCGAATTTTAATTGGATATTAATTACGTAAATAATAAATGTCTGATGCAGGACTTTCGACGCGACACGCCTGAAGAGGCGACTCCGCCGAAAGACACTGTCGCTTCAGTCCGACCCCCAATAAAGCAGAATATCCACCAGCAGTCGAGACGCGGAGGCAAACAAAACGCGAAAGGCAAATAGCTGGAAAGGAAAGCAGGAAAAAGCTTTTAAATCTTATGGCATGTATGGCTGACGCTTGTTAACTTTGGCCCGAAATTGATGCAATGTCAATCGGGCGATCAATAAGCAAGCCAGCTCAAACACAGCTCGTCGCTCCAGTTCCAATCCGCATTCACATTCCCATTTCCATCAAATTCAAATTGATGACGCAATTGAGACATAAACCCCGCTGGAGCATAGGGGGTATCCGGGGGCAAGCTTTTATTGCCTCAGTTTTGTTTTAATATCTACCGGGCCTGGCTGACGGCAGCGGCATCCCCCGACCCTGGTTTCCCCGCGTATATTTATTAAATATGTATGGTGCGACATTTATTGAACATTTATACACAATAGAAAGTCAACTCCGGTCTGTATTAGTCCGGATTTATGGACGTTTGATGTCGACTGGGGCAGGTTGACCTTGTTGCAGCGCCCCCTTCCTTCCCATGGCGGCTCCTCAGTATGCAAAGTCATGTAGCGCCGTCACATCTTGAACTTTTGGCCCCTTAGTCCGGTCTGTATGTTACTGCGTCTTGTTTTGCATATTGTTTATTGTCCTCTGTTTCCTGGCTGTATAAATGTATGCAAGATGCTGTTTTTATTTCTGCTCCTGCCTGGCATATGCAGGAGGCTTCTGAAAGATATTCCGTCCGCATGGGCTTCGTATTCGGTATTCTGTGCAGCGATATGCAATTTACATGTATTTATCAATATTTAATTTGCTCTTGAGCCAATTGTTTCCTTGTATGCATTTTCCTATGCAAATTATCTATTACTTGAGCTTTACGCCTGAGGAGGACACTACAGTTTCCTCGAATATTTCGAATCCTGTTAGCTTAAGATTCGAAATCATTTTTATCAGACACGTAGCCATAACCATCTGCTAGAGCTTCATTGATTGCTGCCACAAAAAAAACTTTGGGTACTCATCGGAGAAAGTACTTCAGCGATATATTGATTAACAACTCAACTTTCCACATTTCCAACATGTTTCGAACAAGGCCATGTTTTCCGCTTACTAGGAATTTTGTTAGGAATTTTTTTTTTTAAATCCTCTAAAAAGTTTCATTTATCGTCTATACGCAGCCCCGACCGACAGATCGTCTAGTATGTTTGGTGTCGACTTAATTTCCCTAACAGGAGCGAGGACAACATCGAGTTCGGGAATGAAGGAGCCGGAAACAGCGATCAATTGTCGGATTGTTCCTGCGAGCAGGAAACAGTTGGTTGCGCTTTCAACTTTCCGAAGGAGTCGTGTGGGGCGGAAGAAGAGGGCCAGGAGCACCAGACACCCAGCATATGCGCAGGTGGAAATTTATAATTTGCGAAATTGCCATATTCACACCCACACGCACGCTGCCAGCATGTTAAATGGGCAGTCACTGAACAGCCCTGCCCCCACCGCTAGCCGCCTTAAATTATGTTAACCTCAAACGAGACGATCCGACCTCGGACCTCCGACCTAGGAGCCAGCACAACACGTAAACAAAGTTCGATTTAAGGCCTCGTTTATTCTGCCATGCATGGAAAGGTGGCGGCCGAGTGGGGAGGAAGCCGTCTGGTTGCATGTAGCAGAAGTTGTTGCCGTTGCACAACCGCATGCCACAACATGCAGCCTGGCTGGACGACCTGTGGGCCAAGAGTGGGACTGGGGGTCACGTCTGAAATGGCCCACTTGGCAATTGCCAAAACTATTTGTTTACATATTTGGAGCAGCAAGAAGGAAGCCGACAAGCCATGAGCCAACTCGTGTTAACTGTGAAATATGTGCATTTAAATGGGAGAGACCGGAAGGGGCAACAACAAGGACACCGATCCCACTTTCCACCGACTCAGGTGATGGGCGAATCAGGTGCACTGAGAATAAATAGTCATATCAAGATTTTAAATCTTTTAAATAAAAATATATAGTTTTATATAACTAGCAGAACATAAATTTTATTATAAGCCACTTTAACCTTAAGGTAAAAATATACTTTTTTAAAGTATCTTTCCCTGACAATGACAATGATCTTGTTTTTATTAGTTACTTATTATTTTATCTTGTATTTTTTAAATTAAGCTGATTATAAATATTCCATAAATAAACCCTTAAGGTGTACAAACGAAAATTTACAAAACATGGTTTATCTACATCAGCAAGAAGAGCTATATGCGATAATCTATAGTATAGATATAGTTATCTAAGATATACTTACTTATTTCAAGCCTGAATAATATTAACCCATGTACGAAATGTCTGATCATAATTTTTCCATTTATTGCCCCAAGAATTTTGTTATTTCCCCAAAATCTACCCAAATCGGTCGGCATCAAAGTTCGGCTATTCAAGAGTAATTACTCTCTTGGATGCACGTTTCGCCAATTCAAATGTGTGTTCTTGGATCTTCATCTACCCTTGGTCTTGGGTATCCACTTCTTATCGCCGCCTGCCGCCAACGAGATGCGGCAAGAACAGGACGAATTTGAATCTTCGAGCTAGGGGGATTTAAGAAACGCTCTATACAACAAGTCACAGTATCATCCCCCTCGAAAGGACGGGTGCCCGCTGGGCATAAAATTTGTAGAAAAATCACGCGCGCTTATCTGGCGCCGTAAACTTAACCGAACCCATGCAATTAACGCCCATTGGGCTGTCAGTATGAAAAATGAGCGATAGAGCTGAGTGCTGGCCGTGAGGGGGAGGGGACTGTGGTGCGGGGAGTACCCACAGGGGAATCGACTGCCAAATGATTTGAAAACGACGAGGTAAAGCTATCGAATGCCCCGCCCTGCCAATAGCTAAAAATTTAATTGCTTTGGTACTTTCAGGCAAGAGGCTGCAGCCAGCCGCATTGATAAGAGAGTCACGTTCCGACAGGGGGAGGCAAGACAACGTTGTTGCTGTCTTCATTATCAATAAGAGGAGGCTGGAGCGGAAGACAATGGTTACTCTTTTGTGCGTGCCCCGTGCCTGGTGGCCAAATTGATAAGACGCTGGGAATGACTTCGAAAACAATAAACGGGGCATGAAATGAATGAAGCGCCGCGTTCACTTCCCTCCGAACCGATTCCGTGGCTGGATGCTGGGAGAAGGTGTTCGAGGAAGGGTGGCCCTCTGCCGGGACGGGCACGGTGCTCCCGATACATAAACAGGACGTTTTCCAAATTTTAATGAGCAGCAGGAGACGTCCTTAATAGAAAGCCTGCGTACGGGTGGCCTGAAGGTGAGAAATACTTCGCTCGCACGAAAGATAAAAAGTTTTCTTTGAAATCTGTAAGAAGTTGGCACGAATCTGGTACTAAAATATGAGCTGCATCATCGTGCTTCCACCCAGCCCTTTTTAAGTCCAGTCAACACTTTGGGACCTCACTTGGTGCTCTCACTTGGGCTGACCCATTTGCTTAGTCAGCCAAATCTTAGAAACCCCCACCGCCCACTCTGCTAATTTCAGAACCAAGTTGGAAGCCCAGAACTTGACAGTCATTTAATAAAATTTCATTTTCACCCATCCCCGCATCCTTAGAATCCAGAGACAGGGGCCAAGTCCGATTCGAGCCAGAGTTGTCCGCAAGTCGCACAATTTTGATGTGCAACAAAATTTTATGAAATACTTTCAGGAATAGGAGAGGAGTTTTATGTGTGCTGGCAGCCGTAAAATTTTAGCGCCAGCAAAAGTCCCGGAAGGGCATCTAGCGGTTGGCCCCGCAGCTCCTCGGCCCTCCACGTTCGGTGGTGTCCTTGGGCTCGCTCCTGGCTAATAATACCGGAGCATTTACACCTTTATGGGGCGTACTTAGAAGCGTTTATTTATGCTAATGGCTGGGCGGATGAGGGAAGGGAGTTACTTGCCACTAATTCTACCCCGAAGCCTTGTAAAGCTTGAAAGCCAAACAACGGGGAGGCGAACTCAAGATTTGAGCAGGTAACTTCGGCGCCAGAAGGAATTTCGGTGTGGGTGCGTTTCATCAGTTAAGATCCCACCCCAAACTTCTGACCTCCGTGTCAGGCCCCGTGTTCTTACCACCCTCCTCCCCGACAATGTCGATCCAGCATGCTGCTCCTGCCCTTCGGCCGTCGTCCTACGTTTTTCGTACTTCAGAATCTTGTCTCGAATGTGTTTGTAATTTCCCTAGAGTGTGTTTGACTTTGACGACTTAAGTTGTAAAACTTTAACATTATCATTTTCACTACGATGCGACCAGGACCGGGCGTGCTCCACGCAGGACACTGCCAGGTCCTGGTGCATGTGTGCTAAAAGCCGGTCTGCTTCTCCAGAAGACTTCCCTGGGAAGAGGCAGACGCCCTGATGCTGGTGACCTTCGCTACTTTTACTTTTACCCCACAACTTATGCTTGTCTTCTTTTAAAGTTTTCTGGATCCTTGGAAAATGTTTGCCATATCGCATTACAACCGCCAGACGGAGAAGGGCAGACCGGGCAAAAGTGACCGCCCGGCAGTTCAGGGAGCTTGCCATGTCTTGTCTAACCTTGGCTTGAATTACGTATTCCCAAAACGATATTTTTTTGAATTTCCTCCCACATGTGTCAATTAGTTCAATCAAGAGGCGGCCGTTGACCGGATTTCCCGCCCCTTTCGGCACGAGGTCGAGAAAAATCGCCAGAGCATCCACTTTCTTGTGAGTCCGCATTTTTAGAGACATCTTAATTGGTTATATTTTGACAAATTGGTTTGATGTGGAAAGATTCACGATGTTCGTCCGACTCATCCATCTGCCTGAACTATCCAAGTTGACAAATAAATAATAGCGCCTTCGCCACTTAAATTGACTCCAAAGTTACCCTTATGCATTAGAGAGCTTTATAAATATTATTTATTCTTCTTACCTATTACATGTTTACATCGGCAGAATGAATAGATATAACATGATTTTCCTGTATTTTTTTCTCACACTAATTATTTCAATATTTTTCCATCCCGTATAAATACGTATTTAGCTTGTGGATTTCCATCCCCATCCCTTATCTGGGGCACTTTCACCGTGCGCCGTAAATTGTAATCAAATTGAGCGTCAAGGCAATCTGATTTATGCCTTTCCCAGATCCCATAGTTCTCTGTGACGGCCAGAATGATCCCCGACCCTGCGAGTCGATGCTATTCCGGGAAAGCCAAAAGGTAAATAAACACATCAGCTCACCGGGCCACCCTTTGACACGCGGCCATGGCCCTCTGGGCCTTGGAAGGCATAATCAGCTCGATTTCGTAAATCTCGACAAGCTGCTTATCTGATGAAATGTGAGCGGAGTGCCAAGTCTGTATTGCCGTATTCTCGTTTTCCCGATTAACATCTCATCTCCAGCTCTTGTTCGGAGGGCAGATATCCGGCGTGGGCTGCTCCAACTGTCACTGTGACAGGACTACGTGCATGGTCGGCTCTAAGTACAGTAAAGCCCGACGCGTGCCCCTGTCACACTCGACTCGTGTGCAGTGACTGAAATCCGCGTCCTGATTGGCATCGGAAATTGAAGTGTTTTTATTAATTCCAAAGTCGCATTTTTCGACATCATTGACGAGAGTGAAATGATATTGCGAACGCGAGTGCCTTGTTCGGTCAAGTAGACGGGGTTTCATCTAAAAGCAGTGGATTTCCGCCGCTTTGTTTCTTTTCTGTGGCCATAATTGAAATTTATCGCTGGCAGATTTCATTGCCACACTGATTGACAGCTGTTCGCTCCGAGAGATTGACGCTTATTGAATTGACTCATCCAACGCGACACCCACGCGGGGCCTTGGCACCCCTAAAGTGTAACGCAGCAACTGTTGCACGAAATCGCGTGGAACCGGGGTGAGGGTAGGCGGCGTTGCCACTGTAATCACTGGGCCACTGTCTAAATTTTTTAACGTCAAAACCGGTCAACATCTCAAATCCGAAATGCCGCCCACACCCAAGCACCGCGACGTAGCCCCGTTTCTGAGCCGGGTCCGGGACTTCTTCCTGGGCCGCTCTCACAAGACGGCCCACCGGTTCGCGGACACCATGTCCCGTCGGACCCAGGCGCAGCCCGACATTCCTCGAGGTCAACTGGACACTTTGACCCAGAGCTACTTCGCCAGGGATCCCCGCCAGGCCGTCCGGCAGCCCATAGACTTGGTGGAGGAAAACAAACGGCTCCTGGCAGCCAAGGAGGCCGCAGAGAAAAATGCGGAGCCGAAGAAGACGTGCGACGGAAAGGAACCCGTGAAGCCCATGGCCAGGAAGAAGCCACTACCAACCCCCGGAAGCTTCCACTCCTGGGAAGGTCCAGATTAGCTCACCAAAATTATTCGACCAGTTTTTTGTTTCATGCTGCTTTGCATCGTGATTTTATATATTTATTACCTAAGCCCGGTCAATTGCGAGACGCGCTGATGCAGTGGCTCATAAAATGCAAATCTAATTAGTCGTCAGGGCGAAAATCTTTTATGGCACCTGCATGAAAATTTAATTAAGCTCCCGCAATTATCGCGTGGGAATGAGAGTGCTCGTCAAGGGCCGAGAGGCTCCTCTTCGACCACGGCAATAAATTTGCGGGCTTAATAACATTTAATGCCATCAAAATTTATATTTACAATTTAAAACGAGGCAATCGCCGGACGCTGAGTGGATTATGGGGCATTGTTAATGATGATTGCAGGTCGATTGTTAATTGTCTGGGCTGCCAATTTATGCTGATGACTTTCGCCCATCGATTTATTGATTGGAGTTTGATTTGCCGCATATTACCCACCCTCTTTCACCTAAGCTGCCATCTTCCAAAGAAATACAAAAATGTAATCTAGTTTCGTGTGTTACGCAAAAAGAAATATAGTGTGCTTCCCGAAGGTTGGGGTCTACCCGGATTTATTGAAATTACCCTTATGAAGCAGGAGACCCACATTGGGCCCGAGGGTGGCTATGTGTGCTGCAAAAGGGTGTCAATTGCCTGGTAACTCTAGACTGTCAAGTCAACATGCTGCCAAGTTCTTCCGGACGGCAGTTGGCGAAATATGATATACTATGCAGTGCGAGCGGTACAGTGTCGAATACAATTTGTGCGATTTTTATTCAATGTTCTTTCTTACGAGACTGTTTATTGCCTCATATGAATGCCAAATTTCGCACATTATGTTGTAGCAACTGTGCACTGGGGAGCGCAAAGTGCTTTTCAGGTTAGGACTAGAAATCGCAATGCTGATTCGCTCCAACAATTACATCCTCCCAGCGCCGACATCTGTGCATCTCTGTGCACAAAAAAAAACGAGGCTTTGCCCACAAAGCAAACACGTCCGCACCCTTTGACCCGCATTCACCCAGTCTCAACTGCTTCACCCGAAATGGTGCTTCTCGGGTGACGACAGCTGGAGGGCGGCGCGCACTCCCCACAAGGATGTCAAATACTTCCCAATCAGAGACGCGTAATTAAAATATGTACAAACAGACCGGGAAAAGTCTCGTGTAAGAAAACAGTGGCTCAGCGAACTTTGTTTGCTCAGCGTGTTTTCCTATAAAACCAAAGGCAACACGAAGGCTCCAAACATCAACAAGGCAACGAGACAAAGCGGCGGCGGGAATCGCGGCCAGGCAATAATAACAAGACAACATTTGCATAAAGCGACAAGCGGCGAATAGAATGGGGAAGTTAATGAGAGCTGGCCCAGAGACGGGAGCGTGTCACTGCCCAGGGGTTTTCCAGACTGCCGCAGCCCACTCCGTAAATGATCGTGTCACGCTCTCATCTCAGCACCCAGCTCCCTCGTCCACGACTATACTCCTTACTTCCTGATGGAAACTCGAATGCTGCCGAATGACAATTCATTAACGTATCATTTGTAAGGGAGCCCTACAGACTTGGCAGGACCATGCCTCGCACAATACACCATACACCATGTGCAGGGCAGGTCCTGCGGCAATCCGGAAGTTGTCTCCACGCCGGCTCTGGAACTTTGCAACCAACTTGCCGTCGAGCCAGGGTGGCGTGTGACATTCGTGTAAAAGTTGATTATTTTTTAGCGGCGCTACCGAGCTTGCCGCTAGTACAGTGAATAATGACTTCTGCCACCGCGCCCGGAACGAGCATCCTCCGGGCCATATTTGGGCTTTTTTATCTGTTTCGCCCTCGGTTTCGGGAGACAACTCCGCGTTGTCGCAAAGTTATGCTGGCTCATTAAGTTGTTGTGCTGTTTAGACAGAGGACATTTACAGCTCGCTTAATTTGCCCGCGTCCTGGCGAAGTACGGAACTCAAGTATAAACAAAAGACTTCCTGACAGTGCTCCTTTGTCCCAGCCCTGGGTGGGTTAGTAGCTCATGGCGAATGTTTAATGAACATAATTTAAGGCGAGATTATTATTTTGCCATAAAACGAAATGGAAAGTGCAAGCCACCCGTCAGCGGGCCTGATTTCTCATTCAACGACTCCAGTATAATAAAGGAGGCTATTTAGTGTTGTCATTTTCCAAAATGTAAATTCAACTCGCTTGTAAAAGCTAAAACTGTGGACCTATAGTAGTCCTTTGAACAACTTAAGCAAAGCACTTTTCTTAACAAGTGTACAATTGACTTTTGGGAACTATCATAAAAATTCATTAGCTATTCAATTGGAAAACATTTTTTATAAGCTTGATGCATGTTTTGGAGCAATGACTTCAAGGAATCTGAAACTCAAACCGCCTTTACGCTTGTACAAAACTCCCTTATTCGAAACTTTTTATAGTATAGTACCAACCCATGGGAATATGAAAACACAGTAAGTTTTTGTAATTCTTGGGGATATTGAGTGACGGGTGAGAAGTGAGCTCTTTAATTCGGTCTAAGCTGATAAATTGGCATCATTTCCGCACTATTCCGAATTAAGTAACCAAACCACCCCCAGGATAAGGAATATAATTTTTCATTCGACGACTTCGTGCGAAAACCGTACCCAGAACGGTTGACCACATCAACTTTTGCTATCTGTTCTGACACAATTTCACCTTCAATTAAACTTCAGGTAATTGACTGCGATGCCGGAGAAAGAAGTCCGTGGGTCGGGGAAAAAGTAATACAGGCAATCCCCAATTTTACCCGGCCCTTTCTAGTCATTGGGATATCTGTATGGATTAAATATTGGTGGAATTGGCAGAGACGCCGTCAATTCCCCCAGCCTCTCCCAAACAGGTCGAGCCAAGAAGCATCGAAACTTATTTTTGATAAGCGCAATTATAATTGGATTTGGAGGAAGTTGTCGGAGGAGCGCCCAGGTAGCCAGGAGCCAAGAGCCAGAGTATTTAAAAGCCAGAACAGAAAAACGGCTAAAAGGAAAATTGGAAACTGCGTTGTTCGGCTGCGATAGAGACGTGTTTGACCCCCACCTTCCCCATCAGTCCTCGGTGTTTTCTTTTTGTAAATGTTTGCTGTCAAGATAAGCACAACACAGCATGTGGTTTGGTCTGATTCGGCCCGACGCCACACTTCCACCCTCACCGAACAGGGTTGCTTCGCGGAAGGAAAGGAGTTTGTCAGGAGTTTGGGCAGCTAAGCCAAGACGGGACTTAACGGAGACAAATGAAGTTATTATCGGGGAGCTGGGATGTAGCTGCTTTTAAGACAACTACCGAGGGGACTAAAGACTGCTGACTGGCGAGATGCGATTGGAAGTCGGTGCATTTCCCTATTGTCTTTGATGTATTCTCGCCGTCCAGTTCACTGGGTATCTGGCAATTAATTGAGTTTAATTATTGGGGTGTTAACGGGAGATGAGGGCGCTTCGCAATGAGCCGAGGGTGTATACGGCCTCCATCAGCGTGTGGAGTGGTGCTGATCGATAGGCGTGGGCGGAAAAAACGCCGACCTCGTTAAAGCCATATTAACTCCAGCAGGTTTTGAAGCCAATCACTAAGTCGTGATTAGTTGTTCTGCTGGGAAGTCTTTGTGGGGGGTCTGGTTACCGAATAGCCCCCAGCAGCCACAGACGCCGAGCCCCTAAGCGATGGAAATACCTCTCGGGGAAGACGGGGAGGAAGTCCTTGGACCACACAGCCCAATATGGCAGACATTTATTTGCGCCCATAATTAAACGCAGACAATGCCATCGAATAATGTTGGGGTCTGGGCCACGCCTGACTTGTCAAATATTTCGGGCCTGCGATGGCAACAGTTTACAAAATGCAAATGGTCGACGCCTCCCCTTCCCAGGTCTTTAATGAGCCGTTGCCAAGTCAAGGCATAAATTTGGGAAATTACCGATGGCGTTCTCGGCGCTTCGGGCGCGCTTGAAATCCTTGCCACATGTGGCTGAAGTGGGTGGGACTCCTTCCACAGCTTCCACTCCGATTCGCAGCATTGTTTATTTTCCATTTGGAAAACCAACAGTGGAAACGGACAGGTTTTCCCCAGAATACATCCGAATTGAAGGCAATTAAAAATCGCCAAATTATTCCCCGCCCAGCCAGGACAATGAATCAGGCGGAGCTGGTAGATGACCGACCCTTGTCACGACCAAAAAGGGACAACTCCAGTTAGCTCATTTCGTTGCATGCAAATTAATGAAGGCAATGATTTGTGAAGTTCTCTCGGGGGTGTTTAGATTGTGTTGCTCTTCAAATGCTTTTGTGTAAGGTTTTAATTGTCCTTGTTAGCCAGGAAACCGGAAGGACAGGAATGTGGGAATCAAGGAGTCCGAGAAGCAGGTGTAGGTGAATTCTTGGAGATGGCTGAAGGCAGTTAATTGATTTATCAAAATAATTGGATGCGCTGCCATTGACTGGAATATTTATTCCACATAACAGTTTGCCTCAATCTTTAATCTTCTGGCTCTCCCGAATATCTCGTTCGAAATTAAATTCACAGCAGAGGCAGCAAAGTTTTTCCGAGCCCACACTCATCAATCCCCATCACGACAGACATCCCCGTCAAAGTTGCACTCTGCGCTTTTATGCAGATAAATTGTCGGTTATGCCCACCTCGTCCCGCCCCAGGACTCCAGGACACCAGAACAGTCCCCGCTCCGGTTGGCAGCCTTTGCTGCCGCGTCAGTTGTTTCTGGCTGGGGCTTAGGACAGGATCTGGGAGCTGGGTTTTGGGTCCTGGGTCCTGGGACACGAGCCCAACGGACCAAAGCAGGCTGAGGGTGTCGGAAGAACTGCTTCGCCTGATTGTTTCATAAAACTTTCTGCTGCAAGCCCAGCCATTATTGTTGTTTGTTGCTGTTGTTGTGATTTGTGCAAATTAATTTGCTTATAATTTTTACGCTTAGTTAAACACAATTTTGAGTGATTTTCACACAGAGCCCAAAGCCTGGGAGCCAAAAAGTTTTCCCTTTCTGGGCGCCCGCACAGTGGGCCGAATTGGGATTCGTCGAATCGGTTTTAAAACTTTGCATGCTTGGCAGGCAAGCCTGGAGTGGACAAAATCAAAGTTCAGTTGCGGACCCGGCGGCTATGCAAATTGGGGAGAATGCGGAGGTGTGGCGCTACAAAAAAAGCACGTTTAAATTTTATTCGAGGCTGACCCCACTGCCACAGAGTTTTCCACCCATTTAAGCGTTTTTCATATTTTTATAAATTGCTATAAATTGAGATATTAATACGATACGCGGCAGAAGTCACGGCATCCGGCGGGACCTCCAAGGCCCACCCCACATCGAAACCCTCTGATGTCACAATGCGACAAAAAACACGAGACATTAAAAAATGGCGCGCAACTGTGGCGCAAACAAAATGTTCAGTTATTTGTATTAAATGCGACGCCACTTTTCGGCGGCAACATTTGGCTGCAAAGAGTTGGACCCGCCGTAATGATGAAGTTGCGCCCGACCGAAAAAGGCCAACATACTGGCTAGGAGTGGCTTTAAGTCGGAATTTAAACAGGCCCGAACTGCAGATGTCTTTGGGCGCCCTTTGCGGCAGCTTAAATATTCCGTGCACACACATTCCCCACACATCTCGGCAGCCCTTCAATTGGACTGATTTAATTGAATCAGTTTGGTAGACAGTAGTCCACCGCCCTCTCCATCCAGCGGCTCCGAGTCTTCGGCCTCCGAATTTACTTCCCTTTACTGTCATTGTTGTTTTTGTGTATTTTTAGGTCTACGTCCGACTATTCACTGCAGCCCCCTAGGCTCCATCTTTTCACTTTTTTGCACACGTTTGCGTGCCATGCTCGGCATAAAAATTGTGACACAAAAGCCGCTGCATGTAATTGGACGCAGAGCAGCGCTGCACGCCTTCGGCCCATCTTTTGTGTGTCCTCGGGCCTGGCCTGGGTGCAGCCTCGGGAGGAGTCCTGCCAACGACGTTCAGACGTGTTAGTGTCCACGGGACGCACTGATTTCGTATGCAACAGCGACCAAAATCTTTCCGAATTTCTATTCTATCGATTTTCTCGAAAGGTCTTCTTTCCGACCTTCTTCTAAGGTGCCTTTTGCATTTCCTTATATACATATTAATTATGGAATATGTTCCAAAACAAGAAAGGAAAGCGGAGTTAAATTCGGCGGAGCGGAGACCTTCGGGCGGAGTTAAATTGGATAAGTTAAAACCGGATATATATCGCAAACATCGGATATAGTTGGCCGATCCTTTTGAGAATATCATAATATAACCAGTTACCATATATAACCAATCATAACCAATCATAATATAACCAAAAAAATAATCCCACGCTTCTAGCTTAAAATATACCAAAGTTTGCATATTTACCAAGTACCAAATAGCATTTCCGATTGTTTAGTTATATGGCAGATATAAGATATAGTCGGCCGATCGCTATTAAATTTGGTAGGTCGGATCAACTGACTGTCGGACTGTCGGAACAATAGAATCTGTTCGAAGTTGCACTTTCTGTCTTCAAAAACACGAAAGTTAAGTCATGTCGGCAGATCCATATAAAATTTGGTAGGTTGATTATTTTGCCAAAAATAGCATTCGTACGAAAAAGGAATTAATATAAAATAATACGAGATACCAAATTTCATAACAATCGTCCGATTATGTATATCTTTTAGCTGCCATATAACTGATCGCTCGGATATGGCATTTGGTAGAAATAATATTGGTAGATATGAGCATGGCCGTCTGTCCGTTTCTACGCAAACTAGTCTCTCAGTTTTAAAGCTATCGACTTGAAACACACCCTTCTTTCCTTTGCTCGCAGTATATAAGTCGGAACGGCCGGGAGTTGCCGACTATATCCTATAGCTGCCATATAACTGATTGATTGTAAATAATCATATAATTTCTTTATAGTGAGTTTTTTGACTTTGAATACAATCGTCACCTTTTAAGTAAAAATGAAATTCATTCCACTCTTTTCATTATTTTTCTCATAGTGTCGTCATTGATGAGATTGGAGGCTCCTACGTGCCCCCAAGCATTCTCAGGCTTGTTGCAAATAAAGCAAAATAAATTACCATGTTCAGAAAAACAATCATTACATTTGGAAGACCGTGGCCAATTTCGATTAGTGGGTCAAGTCCCGTTCTGGACCGAAACTAAATTTTGGACCAAAGTCGCCCAGAATAAGCGAGGGGGTTTGGACCCATACTGTGTCTTGGATGAGGCCTACGCACGTATGATATTTCTTATTTACGATAAGGAGACACAGGATAAATAGAAAAATATAAAGGACCAATAAAGAAGAAACGGCTTGCCTAGCCAATCCCCCAACACCCTTCCTCGAGCAAGTCAGGCAGAAAAAAGGCAGACAACGCAGAGACAAAGAAAAAAAAGCAGTAAAAAGGCCAAATATTGAATTGTGCGTAATTTACGATAAAAAGGGGAAAATTGGAAAAGTTTTTCCCAGTCTCCAGCCCACACTCATGCGGGAGGTCCTTTGTCGTCCTAGCTTGCTTATTTATGTAGCTCGTGTCGGGCGGATGGAACGCACGTCCTGGGGGAGTGTGTCCTGCCGGTGGATTCCTTGCAGCTATAAAAATACGTACTCTCTGATTCGTCGAATTCAATGGGGGGACTAATCAGAAGGCATAATCGGAGAATAAAACAATAGCGCCAAATCTTTCCTTAATTCATTGAATTGGTTAAGTTTCTTATCGTATGAGTAGCATGCGTCCAATCAATTACGATTTTTTGTCCATTTCGGATTCCGAATCAAACGTTGCTCAAGACTGATTTCCCTATACAGAAGTTTAACATATCAGAGGCTATTTTGAAGAAGAATTGGTTGTTAGCTGTGTGAAAAACATTAGGAAACATGTTTAAATAAAAAGAAAATAACTATTACCATAAAAAATGTAGTAGTATATTACCAATTCCAAAGGAATTATTATTTATCCGACTGTTGATGCTTTTGGATTTTGGCAACCTTTTATTTTTACAGGTGCTTTGATTAAAATTTCATTAATTTTGTTGAAGCAAAAGCAGAAACAAGGAAAATGAAATTAAATTTTGTGCATTTTTATAAGCACTGATTTACTATAATTAAAAAAAAAAACACTCCCAAAGCTTTATACATCAATTTGTTGAATACAATTCGAAGGTATTAAATACAATACTCTTGTATTTTTAGACTCAAGTTCAAAAAGTTCATTACAACACATAGAATACGATCCTTTACTATTTTCACGTACCCTTAAAAGTGTTTTAGAAACGTTCGCGATTAACCATAATTTCATCTAGGCTTCATTCTTTAATTTTTAGTGCATTTTGGGCGACCATCACCCACGCGATTGGCATACAACATTTTTGTAATTGCTGTTATCGACAGCGGCTGGCTCTGCGAAATGGCCACTGGCTGCCACATCCCGGATAGGGAATGACAATGCCTCGTAAACGGCCTTTAATACACTTTTGATTGGATTGTCGCACAAGTTAATTGAACGGCGCAGCATCGTCGAACTAACCGGGAGGGTCCTCCCAGCCACACTGACTGGCCGCCTAAGCCATTCAGCCCGTCCGCGCTTGGGCGGCAACACAAAAACTGGTGGCAATTAATTTTGAAACTGGCAGGAAGGGCGGCCAACGGCTCTATGGCTCAATGGAACGTCCCATTTATGCCGACTCATGGAAGCTCATTAGTTGGCAGCCAACAGTTGAAAGTATGCAGCCGGTCCTTTGTCCATGTTTTTAGATAGGCAACTACAAATTTTGGCTTCTGGTCCTTTTATTGCTGAATCGGATTTTTATCTCCGGTGGTGTGAACTGTAACGACCCGGAGCTTTCCCTAAGCTGATTTACTACCGATTGTAATGGTAGTAACTTAAATGCCTTAGAGTTCACTAAGTCACTTACCTTTTTGGTAACTCATCATTTCAGATTAGCGGCACATAGATGGGATAATGAGATAGGCTTTCAGCAGTGCAAGGCCAACATCAATTTCTGAAAAGAGATAAATATTATTGAGGTTTCAAAAGTCTATATTTCACTCGGAGTTTTTAGGCAATCACCATAATAAAGAGCAAACTTCAACCTTCCCAATGGCAAACACAGCATCTTATCATCATCGTCTGCCACTGTAGCACATTTTTACTTATGCGTCTACTGGAGGCGGTAAAAACCGTTTGCATTCGGTTGTTTGACTTCTCCACCCCGGAAAAAGATGACTGTGTTCTCGATGTGAACTTAGAACGGAGCCCGCATTTCAAAGTATCTGCCAAGACGTTCGCGACGGAAAGGGACCCAGCTCTTCTCGAGTAAACAATCTCAAGTTTTGTTGGCGTTAGTTTTGTAAATTGCAGGTTGCAACATTTTCATTAAATTAAGTCAAATAGCAAACAAGGGTATAGGAGCTCAGCACAGCGCAGACAAACAATCAGGACTTTTAGGTCCTGCAGAGAGTTCTGTAAACAATATCCGTTAACTGCCGGCTGGGTAAGCAGTTGAGCATTACCGAAATTACCAAAAGGAGGGGCCCGAAGTTGTCATATCATAAGAGGATCCGCAAAAGAAGTTACGCCGTTGCCAGGCGATACGCTTTGACGATTCCAAAAACAACATTTGCAAATGCCCAAGATTCCTTGAAAGGAGTAGGGTAGTGACTAGGGTAGTAACTTCTAAGTGCCATTTTATCACATAAAACATTGTTTAAAACATTGTTGTGCTCCCAATCAATAGAAAGGCCTCCTAAAGCCATTTGATTCCCTTAAAGTATGACTCCTCTCCCACACGGCTTGCTGGCCGAGACATGAAACATCAGCTGAAACTGACAGCGTGTCCTCAAAGCCGTCGGCAGCCGACCCCGAACTGGTTTACACTTCTGCCGGGCTTGGCAAAAGTCAAGAGCTTCGGGCCAAGCGGGGCGACCAGGAAGTCCCCTCCTCGGCATAACATTAATTAAGTTTGTAACGACAAATGCCAACACGACACGAGGCGCAAACACTGCACTGACACACACTCTGCCACAGATCAGACTAACTCCATACAAATGCAAAGCAGCCACGGCAGCTCAAAGGATATTTGCAGTCCTGGACGGAGATGCGAATGCAGTGTCGGGGTCTGCTTGAATGCCATGACGATGTTAATTTTATAAACTCTTAAATTTTGAAGTAACCCTTCCACTACCTCAAAACCGTTCCTATGGCCTTGCACGGAGGGAAACATTTTTTTAAATCTAAAAGTTTGTATTTTAGAATGGATAATATTGTTTCTTTCATGAAGATTTTATAAACCTTCAGATTCTAGTCTATTTATTATGTCAATAAATGTCTATTATTTCAATTCACAAGCATAATTTTTACAAGTTGTTTCCTGTGTATAGGCCCTGTGTATTTGTGTCCGCACTAGTCGCTCCTCGCATGGGTTGGTGTCCGGAGTGCAACGGATGTGTTTGTCTATGTCTCCTACCTGGCTAACAGGCTTTCAGGAGCCACTGCAGCTGTAGGTTGCGGTTTCTGTCCAGCTCGAGCAGCTTTAAAAAGAACGCCCACCACTTTAAGTCGGAGTGGATGTAAACACTTTCTTGCCTGCAACCCCAAAAGCCTTTCTTGGCAACTTTTAAAGCCCGCTGCCGCTTCGGCTCTGATTTATTTAAATCTTCCCAGCCACGTGCAACATTTTTCTATTTGTTTGACGCGCCGCATTTTGCAGCTCGCATTTCGCAGTCTCCGGCATGAATGCCAGAGGAGCCAGTGAAACATAGCCCAGCAATTGAGCCTTGGCAGAAGGTGGAAGCATGGGCGCATGATGCCCGAGCATGGGGCGGGAAACGCCGACTTTGCTTTGTGCAACAGCGCGTGAATCGGCATAGGAGGTAAAAATGCAATGTCTGGTAAATGCGGAGAAAGCTCGTGAAGGAGGGAAATAAAATATATTGTATGGGTACGGGGGTGGCAGGTGGTGGTGGGGGGAGAGTTTTATTTGTTTATAGCACAGAATGCGGCACACAAAAGTGCAACGCAGCTGCCGGCAAACAGACGCAGGGAACTGTCGGGGCTTTTAGGAGCCGGCAGGTGCAAAAGACGCACATAACGCCCACTGTCAATATGGGGCGTGGAAAGTTTATTCCTCCATGTCCTGCACAAGGGTCTATTGTCTGGTTGCACCATATGGGTATGGAGAAATTAAGGGACTTTCGAGTCGGAGGCCTCGGCGAAAAGTGGGTAAAAAATTCAAGCTAGCTCTAGCTTTGCCATCTAGTTTCCATTCACTGTCCTAGAATCTTATCCTGATGGCATTCTTCATAATATTTGTTGGCTTATCTCTTCATAGCACACAGCCATTAACTACAATTGTTATTCGCCATGATCCGCAATTATATTTACGTAACGATTTGCAAACATTTGCCCTACCCTCGGAGTCCTGCGGAGCTGAGCCAGCTCGAAAAGTGCAACATCCGACAACAGAGTACATAACTTAAATGGCAACTTTAAAATGTTTGCCAAACGCTTCATCGCAGTTGTAACTTGAATTTACGGGCCAGCAGCTAGCCAAACACATCTGCCCCGCACTGCCACCCACACTTGCGCCCCACCGCTTCTATTTGCGCTTTACCCACCGAGAGGACTGCGCTGAAAAGCAGGCTACCTTTTTATTCCGCGCTCTGCAGGCGCGAAAGATATGCGATGGCAGACGCGGGCCGAGGCACGTGAGTCCGGGCGGGGGACGCAAGTTCACCATTCGACACCCAGTCAGTCGGATAGACGGACTTTTGTGCTCATTACTGTGGCAAATTTTTTGTTCACGCTTCCGTTGGATTTTAATTAAAATTAATTACATTAAGTGCAGCGAGCAAACAACAAACATCAGCGTAGAAATCCGCAATCGCCACCGAGAAACAGAGAACGCGTAATGAAAAAGCCTTGCAAAAAGTAGGATCCCTGGAAGACACAAGGAGAAAGGATTCTATGGAGTGAACTCGCTAGTTGAAGCACTAATGCACTTTAATCAACTGTCTGCCCGGAAACCCAAAAAGTCTATATCTTTCTTAACTTGGCACATATTCTCTACTCTGGTTTTGAGTAATTTCTCCGGGGCTAAAGAAAAAACTAGACTAGAAGCGTTGTAAGTTTGCTTTTCTCCATTCGGTTAATCTTGTAAGTCTGTGGATCGGTTGTGCTGACCAAAATGATATATTGTAATATATATATTTGTTCAATTTTATAGCAGCATCCGCCTTTTCCAAGATTAAATTACTATGGTTTGTGCAATCCGTTTAATTCAGTGGATATATTTTTTACATTTAAACTAAATTGTTAAGCTAATACCTTATAAATAAATTATAAAGCTAATAATAACTAAATTATTATTAGCCCTGAAACAGTGATGTTAGCTTTTAAATTAAATTGTCCAAAAGGAATATTTACTCACAAGTCGTAAGCAAATTATCGTCGTTTTAAAGGTCAAAGCTACCCGTCCCTCGGCACATCATCACTCCTGAAAGTTTACAACTAAACTTCAGCTGACAACGTTAAATAAAATACAACAAATCGTTTGGGCCCTGAGACCGAAATTCCTCCCACGTTGCAGCGTAGTTGGTAACTTTTGAGCAACATCATAAAATACAACAATTGGCAACATTTTTATTGTTTGGTCTCCGTCGAGTTTGATTTTTTGTGAAATATTTTTTTGAGCAATTAAATGTTGCCACTTGGCTGCTAAAGTTGGGCGTAGGAAACTTGTCCGTCCGCCGAAAGTTGCAGGGCAGGAAACGGGTCTGCAGGAGGACAGAATTGAGGCAAGAAACGGGACGACATCCCCCAGCAGAGCAAAGCCACTGACAATAAAAATAAGCCAAACGTTCGGTAATACCAGCGTAGAAAATCATAAATAAATCGCATGTAATCCAGAGTTGAGTGCCGGGCTGGAAGCGGAGCCAGTCCGCTGCCAATGGAGGGGATGAATCAGGTTGCGCAGCGATAAGGACGAGCAGAAAGTATTTACATTTGTGGCTGATGCGGTTGCCATATTGAAAAGTCATCAATCAATTGACTTCTCACAGTCAGCGGAGCAAAAAATTTGTCAGCTTCGCAGAATCCTGGAAAGGAGATTGTGTACTTGAGCTGAGCGCTGAAGGATTCATCGTTCGGCGTGCGACGACTCAATTTGACGGCAACTTTAAAGGCCTTTAAGTGGGGCCGGCCCGGCCTTCGTCAGGACCTCAAAAAACGGGCAACAAAACATTTGAAAACGGCAAATGAATGGCTGAATAGATAGTCGAAACGAGTGCGGCAGGACAAGGAAAGTAGCCAAGGAGCAAAAGTTTACATAACATTAAACAAAGCGCACAATGGCACGAAAGCAGACTTGAGAGTCCTGCTGATGAGTGCGAACGGGCGGACAGTCAATGGGGTGTTCGGGGCTGGGGCTCATACCTAGTGCAGGCAAGAAAACAAAATTTGTTTAGACTTTCTGGCCCTGCCAAGTCAAACAAAAACGAGTTGCGCATAATGAAGCACAAATGCACAAAGGACTTAAGAACTTGGGGCTAGACCTGGGATACATTTTATAAATGTAGCCATTCCCGGAGCTATGGCGCTGCTCTTTTCTACTCCAACTGTGGTAGTGGAAGTGGTAGTCGAAGTGGGGGCAGGCTAAGAAAGGTGGAGAGGCCAGGAGAAGAATCTATGCCAAATTATCGGCCAGGCAACCGCAAAACTTAAGCGCTGAGTTTCGCTTTCCCAACCAGCTAGTGAAACTTTTCCACCCGTTATAAGAAATTATTTCATTAACAACATCAATTGGCAGTCGTTAGGTGGAAGTTTGCGGCCTTCCCACTTCTACGCTTCTACGCCCTGTGTGGAGGTGCCTCCTTAGTGAAAGTTTTTGGAAAAGTTGCAAGTTTTATTTGCAGCAAATGCTTTAATCGTGTTAGTAGCCTAACTTGCGGATAACTGTTTGCCAATGAGTGAGCTGCAGCGCTCTAATTGTGGCAAAGTTCGCCA